TCTTTTTCAGGTTTACCTTTTTCTTTGTGACTGTTCTACTTCCTTACTCGGCCATTCCTCTGTCCTTGCTTTCTGCTGTCTGTCATACTAGCACGCTCAATTTATTTCTGCCACTGGTAAATCACTGCAAATCTGCCTAAATTAGTAAGAAAAATTCTATCTCCTGCGAAAGGAAGCTGCAAATTAAATGATACTTGATTACAAAGTTGCTTGATGTTAATGAGTTTAACTGTACTTTGTGGGACAAAGTACACCTCTTTACACAGCGTACCTGTAAGATCGGGCTGCAGTTACCAACATAGGCAAATATCTGGACTAAATTTAAGCAAGCATCTGGCATACTGATTACTACTCTTTGAACAATTGATTAAATGGGATGGATAAGTGAAATTATTTATATTACTTGCCATACGTGGGCCTACAGAACAGCTTAGGGGTATAAATGAATCCTTTTCCTTGCTAGAGCAAACAGGAGATTGTCAAAAAAGCGATACAGCTCATGACTGTGCCAAGCCATCTGGCAGCGCGAGAACCACTTCGGGGCAGTATTCTACCAGTGCAGAAGAGGAAGCTAATGTGCTTGGGCAGAGGAAGGCACAGCCCACTTCTGGTTAGAAGTTTTCATTTTTCATCGAGACGGTGCATGATGACTGGCACTAACAATTGTTAAGAAACAGTAATAGCAAGGAAGCCACAAAAGCGTGTGGGTTTGTCATTGGATTATGAGAAAGGTAAAAATCTCATGGGATGCTAATCCTCTTTCTGTCCCCGTGGGAATTACATGGTGTGAAAAAAATTTCCAGATAAGAAATGTATGTGGAATTTTTTCCTTTGTGGCAACAGCAGTGACCAGTACCATATAGCAGCACCGGCAGCCCCTCTGCAGAAGAGGGCTCATTACAAAACCATGATTGCTCATTGCAGTCACGCTGGTACGCTGCCGTGTAAGTACGCTGCAGGTAGACCCTCCACTGCTTCGTGTGCTTGCACACCTTTCCTTTTGAAGATGCGTGCACTGAAGTATTTCAGAATACATTTCAGCCTGAATATTGTTAGTGCCGGTTTCAGCACATCACTCCCCAAACCATTTGAGAACTGGGTAAATCAGAGTATTTTGATGTAGTACTTTGATTTTCAGCTGCATAAACAAACAAAAAAACCTCCAAACGAACCCAAACCCAGCACTGACTGGGCTGCACGCTTAAGCTGCGCTTCTTGAACAGCAGCTTTGACTTACAGTGAACTCATTCTGTACGCTACAAAAATGTTTGGTTGATCTATGTGTTTTTAAAATATACAAAGCTCCTGTTCTCAAATCATACGTGTTTACATGCTTCTCTTTACCTCTTAACTGGTTTGTTTAAACAATGATTCAAAATTACTTTTTTTGAAGTATATTATTGAGGTATTTGAACATCTTATGCCATTACATTTACCCACAGGTTTTGTACTTATAAGACACCCCGTATCCTTTTTGTAACATCCTCAGCCCAAAATGTATAAACTGGTCGTCTTTTCATATTGTAGGATCAAACTTAGCCCACCCAAACTTGGAATCTCTCCTCCTCATCATAATCAAATTGTTATATTTCATTGTTCATTCTAAGATGTCTCTCTGGTAAAGTAAGTTTCAAAAGCTGCAATGCTGCCACAGGTCTACACAGGTCACCTGTGTATGGTTTCACTGGGGCAAGGGTAAGCTCTCGTGGCAAAAGCCTGCCGGCAGTATGTGGACTTAAATGCCTGGTATATTTTTCAGGCATTTGGAGGGTGAATTACCTGTTGTGATTTATCAGGCCATAACCTAAAATGGCTGCTGCAGGATGTGTGCTGGGTTTTGTTTGACGAGTGAATGGAGGCGGAACAAAGACATGTAATTACTAGGAGGTACAAGTAGCAAGACTGACTCAAAAATTTCCAGGCAGCTATTTCTTTGAAAAGCAGTGGTGTTTGGGTAAGGTGGAAATGCCTAATTTTTTTTAATTTTTTTTTTTATTGTTACAGAATTTAGGTGTTTTAATCCTCTCTAATTCTGTTAAATAGCTTTAAAAACCTTTCTCAAGACCCTTTCCTCTTCTTTCCCAACTTGCAAAGCTGGGATAAGAGTGCAGTGAGTGTGTAGCTGTGCTGACTCTCATTTCCTCCCATATTTAGGCTAGCACAAATAAGGAAACAGGTATTTCAGACTCAGGAGAACTGTTTGGGTAGCAAATGTGATGTGTGCGGAGGTGGGTCTCCGCAAGATGCGCACTGGATGTGTCCGTTCTGCTTTCGTCACAGCAGAAATCCAGGACTGGACAATGTCTGTGCTCTGGGCAGAGCTTTCTGTCCCCTCTTTCACGGCCTGTTGGGATGCACCAGCCCTGTCCTGGGGAATCGTGCCATATCCCCAGGGATACAGGGAGCATCCCTGCTGCTGCATCAGCTCCCTCGGGATTCCTCTCTACGTTTTCCACATTCCTGTCAGACCCTAATGCAGCCTGGCACAATTTGAAAGGGCCACGGAGATGTCTCAGTGACAGCCTGCTCCTTGTCTGCCCCTGCTGCGGCTGGAGCTGCGCGCTGGTGACGGGGCCGGCTGTCCCTTGCGGCGGTGAGGCTGTAGGGGAGCGGTACGCAGGGAAGGAGAGGTGATGCTTCATGGCCACCATGGTTGCTGGTGCCTTGTTAAGAGAGGCGTGTACAAATGTGGACAGGCACAAGGATCAGCGTGAACCAAAGCCAGATGTCTTTATCTGAAATGGTGGAGCAAAGATGGTCCCGTAACTATAACATTTAATTTTGTGGGGGTAAAGTGGGATGACTTGCAATGTAGTCACATTTGAGGGCCACTGTGTGTTTAAAGGTTCGTTTTAATCAGAAGTATGAGATTTCTAAAGCTGTCAATCCTTGCCATAACATCCCCACCATTGATGTGTGTAGTAACTCTTGTGTTACCATAGAAATGCTAGACCATCGATGAGATCAGAAATCATAACGAGGTTTTTTCATCGTATTTCAAAGCTTACAGGTTTGGGGAAAACCCTGGCCTTACCGAGATTTTATAGTGCTGGGCGAGCAAAATGGGTACTGTTTGCATTAAGATCACGGGAAGTGGGTATGTTCTCCTGCTTTCTCCACTGCCGAGCACAGCAAGGTGCAGAGCCCGTGGTCTCAGCTGGAAGAAATGCAGGTTGGGCTCAGAGCCCCCCATCAGGAACAGGGAGATCATCGGGACTTGGCAGTGCTGGTGGGGCAGGGGGCAGCAGTTCAGGTAACTTGGATGCCAAGGTGAATGTCTGCCCTGATTAAGGCTGCTGAGTCGAAAAGGAGAATATAGATGTGTCCTGCTAGGGAGACAGGCCCGCCTGGGGCACACGCTGCTGGTGTGAGGGGTGCCCAGCGAGGATATCCACCTGAGCGGTCAGGAGTGCATCGGCTGAGATCCAGCCCAGCTGGAAAAAAGTATGCTCTTCTGGTTTTGAAGTGGTGTGATGAGATTCCAGGCCCCTTCTAACTGTAATGTTTATCCATGTCACAGTGAAGTACTGAGTCTCACGTTGCAAGTTTGCCTGCTTGCCAACCAACAGCAAAATAAAGTTTGCTCAAACTCTCTCTCTTCTCTCTCACCTTTTTCTGGGTTGAAGAATGAATGGGCCTGTGCTGCTCCCACTAGTGCGAATGCGTTCAGTGGGAGGAGGAGAAGGTCCTGTGCGCATGAATGACTTTTTTTTTAAAAATGATTTTTCTTCCTCTCTTTTCTCCAATCATTAGTAAGACCTATTTCTGTTTTCTACAGCCGCGAAAAGAAGCCCTGGGCAGCAGTCTCATGAGTTCCAGGAACTGAAGCAGAGGTCCTTAAGTAAAGACGGCCATCAGGGAAGCAAGTCCAGTGACTCTGGCGAGGAAGCAGATAAAGATTTTATTTTTGTTTAGCAATCAGTACAAGTGCTTTGTAGCGCAAGAGCTTTTTATAACAATCAGGGTACAGCAATCAACAGCCCCTTCTGGCCAGCTGCTCCTTCACCACAGGTACATTTCCATGCAGAAAGCCTGATCTTCCAATCGTGATTTACAATACACTCACTTGGCATTGATTCGGTCCTTAATTTCTGTTCTGTGCAACGCAGACGTTCCTTTCCATGCCTTTGCTAAAGCCAGCAGTTCTCTCATGTATTCTACTTGAATTTCTCTGAAGCAGCTACAAAGAGTGCCCTGCAATAGGGCATTTAGAAAGCAAAACAACTTAACTGGACGCTGTCTTACACTAATACACTGTGCAGCAGGTAATGTGTTGTACTGCTGAATGTAAATGTGTCAAATCTGCACGTGACTTACCTATAAATATATTCTTGCGGTATGCAATTGCACATTGTAATTATATTAAAAGAGCACACTAATAAAATAATTTGTATAGATTATATATATTAAATGCTTGGGTATGGTTTTTACATTCTCCCATAGGGAGGTTCTTTCTTCCTGTTCTCGTACTGTACATAAAGCTCCAACGCTTACATTTGTGTACCGTCAAAAAGCACAACAGAGAAGGATTTGGATGACGTATAATCATGGTATGCTTCCACATTCATATATTAATGTATATAGTTGATTGGAATGAGGGCAATTGAAATTTTATTAATATTGGTGTTTTCTAGAGGCCTTCCTCGGTTCTGTCTGCATATTAGCTTCCTTTCAATGTGTAATTCTACGAGAATAATAGTTTGACATCTGTAAAAATATTTCAGCTTTTGGGGGAGGGGGTGCAAATTTCACAGCTACCCACTTACATTACAGGTTGAAGGGATTTTATTCATATGTATATTTGTAACAATAAAAAATGATTTTACAACTGAAATACTAATCTCCGTTTTTGTGGTGCTATTTTTGCTCTGACGGTCTCTGCTCTTTGAATGATGGCTTTGTGTCAGGTAGACAAAGCGTGCAGTTAAGATGAAACCCGGATAATCTTTCTGCTTCTAGTTAAGATGTCTGTTCCTGCTGCAAGGGACACATACATATCGTCTTCGTAAAATTGCTGAAAGAAGATCTCTTTGCTAATCTCCTCCCTCGGGACCTTCAGCAAAGCAGCCTTCACATGAACCAGAAACACCTGCTATCTAAATTCTTTATTTTGGTTCCATAGGACAGAACGAAATTGCTTCGGTAACTCTCTCCCAAGAGCAATTGCCCTGACCTTGCCGTGGCCTCTTGCCTGGGTAGAAATGCTCCGATACCTCTCTGTCAAGTGACCTTCCAGCGACCACCCTGCGCGCGTACTCTCTATTGCCCCTTCTCCTATTGCAGCATAAAGGGCAGCTATGTAAAAAACAGCAGCCTTTTATACCAGAACCTTTTAGAAACACTTTGTAGGGGTTTAAATCTCAAAAGAAAGGTTACGAGGCGGTGGGAAAAGAGCTCCTTAAGGCTGGGGGTTTGTACCCAAGTACTGCGGGGTTTGCACAGTCTTGAAATTCTGCGCTCGTCTATAATCATTAAGAGAAAGTTCTTCATTTGCACATACGTATATTCTTGATTTATTTGGCATCAGTGAAAATAAAAGATAAATGGTGAAGGAAAACTTGAGATGTTTGTATTAGAAAGGAAAAAAAATCCAGTAATAAATAGTCCAGTGCAATTTTCATTCCCATATGACATGGAAAAGACAACTGAAAAACGTAAGTATACAAGAAGGGTTGCCTGATTAGGTGACTTTGTGAATTTAAGGCAATTAACAGCAAGGTTTGTAGTATTAATAAAAAAAAGGAATGCACTCTGACTTCCCTCTGGAAGGAGTCCTGGTGCCAGCATCACCAGTCAGAGCTGGAGTGACTTGATCCAGCCTCGGAACAAGGGAGCGAGGAGCTCTCGGGGGGAGCTGTCCTGGCCTCTTCTGCTCCTGAATCTGGTTTTCAGGTTTCACCGTTGAAGAATTTCCCCCGTGGGGTAGGTGGCAAGAGCCACCTCCCCATCTAAGATGGGCTGGAGAAGGGCTGTGGTTGTCTGCCCGGCTCCAGCGTGAACTCAGACGGCTCTACACCACATCTGCAGGGGCCTGCTTCCCACTGCCTGTTAAAGGGGGTTAAAATCCGGCTGATAGATTTTGAGTGGTTTAAAGTAGTCCCTGATGTGCAGTAACAGCAGTAAATAGCTGCTTCCTAAGACGGCAACAGCAGTCGTCTTAAATCCTCCCCCTCCACCAGAGCCATCCAGCCAGGCTGAGGCGCTTTGGGAAGTAATGTGGCCCATTAGTCACAAATCTGCGCGACCCACTGCACTTAACTGAGAGCTGCCATCAGCACGAGCTCTTGCTGCCGCTGCTTATTAATTGATTAATGTGGAGACGATTTCTCTCTCCTGTTGCATAGAAGTAAAAAAAAAAAAAAAGCACTACTGAGAAATATTTTCTAGGAAAATACTAGAAAGCTCTGCCCCCGTTTGAAATGCTGCTTTCTCGTGGTTGTGAGAGAGCCATGCAGCTTTCCCCACGCCCAGGGCGCATGTTGGGTGGGCTGTGCCCAAATCCCACCTCTCGGGATTATCCTCTGCTTGCACTGAAGCTGGGGGGAAGTTTCAGGTAGCGACACTGTCCTTAGCTTCTCCTGGAGCTGTGGCCCAGAGGATCGCAAACAAATACAGCGCAGGTGAGTGCCAGAGATTATCATTTGATGCCAGACTCTTGCTGATCGTGCCTGGAAAGCAAAGCGGTCTTTCCCCGTCCTAAGAAAGTCTGTAAATGGGGAGGATGCAAATTGCTACGCAATGGTGATGACCTTCTCTTTCCTTCAAGTGTAGGAGACGACAAAACCCAGTTTTCTGAATCATTCCCTCCCAGCCCCATCAGCCCTCGCCCCCTCCCCATAAGTCCTTTCCGTAGCTCCGGGCAGGCAGCTGGTGAGCCGATGCCCAGAGCCTCGCTGCCCTCCCCATGCCCAGCCGCAACCTTCCTAACTCCTCTGGATGCCCCAATGGCATTGCCAGCGAGTCTCTCCAAGGTTGCCAACTGCTCACAGGATAATTAAAATGCCTTCAGTCTGTCACATAAACATTAACTTGTGTCCTGATAAAGGGAGAAAAGTGCTGCCTTAGGTTGGCCTCCACCTCCCCATCCTGGATATGAGGTCAGAGGAGGATCTGCCAGGCACTTTCCCGGCTTTCCCCCTCATCCCTGTGCCCATCCTCCTGCAGTCCATCATGCCTTTTCCCAGCATGAGCATCTCGCCAGCGCCACGGCAAGTGACTCTCCACCTGAGCCTCCACCAGTGTCCAACATCTCCAACTCCATCATGACCACAGGCAGGGCAGGACCCCACAGCGGCCAGGGTGACTTCCCCGGGGGGCAGAGAGGGGCGCATTCATTTTTTGGTTTAGAGGAACCAGCTCCACCAAAGAGGCAGGGCTCCCTGGCCCTCAGGCCACGACTGTGCCTCACTTGAGCGGGCGCTGCCAACGGCTGGCAGATTAAAATGCTGCTCTGGTCATTGCACATGGAAATCTTCTTTTCCCTTCACGAAGCTGAGATTTCCCCAGCTCTGAAGGGCAGTTTTCCAGCCTTGAGGATTTGCTGGCAGTGTCAAGGCTTCAGTGGATTTGGCCGTGGGATTCCTGCCACCTCGTGCTCCCCTCCTGTGCCCCATCCTGATCCATTGAGGCACACAAATGAGTGAAAAACTGTCCGAAGCACCTCAGCTGAAGGCCCTGGGGCTGCAGGCTTGTCCTCATGTTGCTGCCCCTCGTCCTGACACGTGGCCAGGCTGTAACAAGGGCAGAAGGGCCATGGGGTATGGAAGGCAATACTTCATCCTGGAGGCAGTGATTTCTTTTAGTCATTTGCTTTGGCTATTTATTTATTTGGGGTTATTTTGAGAATTGCTGAAAGGCCAAACGCTCCTGGGTTGTCCTTCTGAGGCTTTGAGAGGGGGAGCTAAGCAGTGCCAGTTTCAGCAGGGGCTCCTGCACTCAAACCCGGTGGCACCTGGCAAAGGACATGGGTCCATGTGTGAGGCGCCATTTGGAGATGGCGCCCGTCGGAGTTTGTGTGTTCAGGGACCCAGGAAGAGGCATCAGAAGTGGGTGAAAAATGCAAAAGTGAGGTGTCGTGGTGAGCTGCAGAGCAGTGAAACAAGTCAAGCAGCATAAAATCTGATAGCAAGTCCCTAGAAAGTGGCCTGAGGGTGGAGGGGAGGCTGTGTCCAAGCATCCCTGGGGGAACATGAGACATCCTGGAGGCTTCGAGGTCACACACAGTGAGGGGAGAGGAAACGAGAGCTGGTGGCAAGAGGCACGGGCAGCCCTGGCCAGCCGGTGCAGAGCAAGGGCAGAGCTCAGGCCCCTCGTGTGAGGCTTGGAGGAAGAGAAAAGAGGGAAGGGATCAGCTTCTCTGCCTCTGCCAGCTTAAATGAAATCTCTTGAAAACAAGTTACCCCTTTTTCCTCTGTGTTCGGGACAGGCTGGTCCCTGGGATGAGGCGCTTCCCTGGGTGGCAACCGGGACCACCGTACTCGCCCTGCCCTGGGCAGCCTGTGGCAAGTCCCTTCTCTTCACCATACCTGGGGGTGCCAGCTGACCCCCGCCCCAGCACATCTCACCCCTGGTTGCTCCTGCTGCATCACGGAGACTCCACAGGGGCAGGGCTGCTGCCGCCCTGGAGGTGCAGGTTCCCCCGGTGCCAAGTACCACGGAGAAATTGCTGTAAGAGCGACGATGCTCATCGGCACCAAGAAGCTGAAGAGTGAGACCCTGTGTTTTCAAAAAGAGAGAGAGAGAGAGAAAACATTTATGCAGCAGATCAAGGGGAAAACACATTTTTAGAGATGTCTTTGCAAGGGCTGTGCTATTGCAAAACTTAATTCCTTATGCTGTGTCCCACAGCAAACTGAAGAAGAGGGTCCTGCTGACACGAGAAGAGTCTCTTCCCAACATGAAAGCCACTCTGCCTTTGACACTCCAACACCAGGTGTCCTGAGGCTTTATTAAATGTGGGTTTCAAGCAGCCGCATTTGAGTAGCCCGCGTGGGAAAGCAGAGATACCGCCATGGTCCATCCCAGCCCCGTGGCAGGGTCCTCGCTCCCGTGCCGCTGTGCTGATGCTGCTTTGCTCGGGGCTGGGGTCAGCTTTTTGTGCTGCTCATGCTTTGCGATGAGCTCTGCCAGCTGACCCCAGCCCCGACCCTTCAGAGCCTGTTTTGGTTTGTTTTTTTTTCTGCTTTTCCAGTAAGTTGAATTGAGGAGAAGAAAAGCTGCGTGGGAGAACAAGCATTTAAATTAGATTGCTACTGGCCAGAGAAGGCAGGAGAGGGGCTGCTAGCTTGGCAAATCCAATTTGGTTTAACTGAATGGAGGAGTAAAGTTAACTCTGTAATCTCTGCTCAGCCCAGCTTTGTGGGTGCCTCCTTCCCTTCCTGTTTGCTTGGGTGGGTGAGACCCAGCAGTGGGTGGAGGAGAGCCCCATGGAGGCTGTACAGCCCCCGCTTTATTTGGACAACATTAAATTCTAGCAGAAGGCTGAAATAATGAAAGTCATTAACTGTAACAGAAGGCAGCCCCTGGTGGGGTTGCATCAAGCAGCACGTGGCTGGGGGAGAAACATCGACTTTTCCTTTGGGAAATCTCTTCTTAGATCCCATCTGGTGGCCTGAGTCCCGACCTCTCTTTTCCAGCAGCATCCTGGTGAGAAGGGGGTGGTTGTTCCCCCCTCTAACACTCATAGGATCCCTGTTGCTGGCCCAAGAACAGGGAAGAGTACAGAGGACCGATGCTTCTCAGTTTGGGGGGCTGCACAGGGAAGGCTGGAAAAACCTGGCCTTGGTGGGAATCTGTGGATGAGAACATCTGTGGGGTGATTGTCCTCATGTAACA